GGAAGGTGGCTCAGTGGTAGAGCGCTTGCCTTGCATGCTCGAGGCCCTGGGTTCGATTCCTCAGCACCACATAAGCAAAAAGACTATAGTCCCCAGGCACTATTGGAGCTGCATTCTAACAATGGACAGTAGATAGAAATATCTGGTGCAACTTCTGGGAAGGCTCCTGAAGAGTAGAGACACAGTCTCTTCCTTTCTGTCTTCCAACTGGATGAGATGACATCTGCAGCCTGAGCAGCCATCTTGGAGGATAAAGTAGAAACCACTTATTAAGCATGGCTGAATCCCAGATGACCTGAAATGCCATATCAGCCGACAGACTTCCTTTAACATGAGAGATAAATGAACCTTTCCTCAAGTCATTGTTATTTAACAATGTCTGTCATACATAGACAAATTTACACACTAACCAAAATAGTACCTGAAAAGAGAAACGAGCAGTTCAGATAACTAACTTTGAGGCCGCAGAGCAGTGTGGTTAGGATCATGACTACCAAAGCCTATATGCTTGGCTCTCCTATTTCCTAGCTCTGAGACTATGGGAAAATGAGGTATACTATGTGCCTCACTTTTGTTACCTGTGGGAAAAATATAAGTGTCCTCTCTGGAGGGTAGTGATGAGGGTTGAGTTAGTAGTTGTAAAACACTTAAATTGGACCTGGTATATGGCAAATGTATAAGTATTTAAATAAATATATTTGTTCATTGCTGCACTATTCACAATAGCCAAGTTATGGAAACAGCCCAGATGCCCTACAATGGATGAGTGAGTCCAAAAAAATATGGTACCTATACATAGTGGAATTTTACACAGCCATTAGAAAGAATAATGTTATTTCATTTGCAGGGAAATGGTTGGACCTCATGTTAAATGATGTAAGCCAAGCTCAGAAAGACAGTGCATGTTTCCTCTCATATGTGGAAGCTAGATCTAAAATATACTGGGGCATGATAAATTATACAAGACTCTAGGGCATTCACACATAGTGAGACCGAAGGAGGACATTCTTTTTTTTTTTTTTTTTGGGGGGGGGGGTCCGGTTGTGGGGCCTGAACTCTGGGCCTGAGTGCAGTCCCTCAGCTCTTCAGATCAAGGCTAGCGCTCTACCACTTGAGCCACAGTGCCACTTCCAGCTTTTTTCTTTTTGCTTATGTGGTGCTGAGGAATCAAACCCAGGGCCTCATGCATGCAAGGCAAGCACACTGAGCCACCTTCCCAGCCCAAGGAGGATTTTTTTTGGGGGAGTTCTGGTCATGGGGCCTGAACTCTGGGCCTGGGCACTGTCTCTCAGCTCTTCAGCTCAAGGCTAACGCTCTATCACTTGAGCCACAGCACCACTTCCAGCTTTTTTCTTTTTGCTTATGTGGTGCTGAGGAATCGAACCCAGGGTCTCAGGCATGCAAGGCAAGCGCTCTACCACTGAACCACGTTCCCAGCCCCTAAGGAGTATAATCTTAAGGGAGGGACACAAAGATACAATGCCTATGTGCCTCTAATCATATAAAAAAATATTTATCGCCTGGCATCAGTGGCTTAGGCCTGTGATCCTAGCTACTCAGGAAGCAGAGATCTGAGAACCACTGGTCAAAGCCAGCCAAGCCAGGAAAGTCTGAGACACTCTTATCACCAACTAACCACCAGAAAACCAGAATTGGCACTGTGGCTTAAAGTGTAGAGTAATAGCCTTGAGTAATAAAGCTCAGGTATAGCACTCAGGTCCTAAGGTCAAGCCCATGACCAAGAGAAAATAATAATTATTATTGAAATGAACTCCAGGAAATGGAAACAAGAGGTTTTTTCTTCATTGTTGTTTTTGTTTTCTTTCTTTTTTTGTCATTTATCTATCTTTGGGAGGGTAAGGGGAGGCACAGTAATGGAGGGACAAAGGGCAAACTAAGGCAGCATTAGTACTCACTAGACACCATGTTGAAAAGGAACCATACAACCTGTGAGTGGAGATGGAAGGGAAAAACTGGGAGAGTGCAAAGGAAGAGGTGACATTGTTCAAAAAGAAATGTACTCTTAGCTGGGTGCTGTGGTTCACACCTGTAATCCTAGCTACTTAAAAGGCTGAGATCTGAGGATCTTAGTGTGAAGTCAGCCTCAGCAGGGAAGTCATGAGATCTCTTTTTTTTCTTTTTGGTTGGTCATGGGGCTTGAACTCTGGGCCTAGGTGCCATCCCTCAGCTATTCAGCTCCAGGGGCGCTCTACCACTTTAGCCATAGAACCACTTCCGGTTTTGTGAGTGGTTTATTGGAGATAAGAGTCTCACGGACTTTCCTGCTTGGGCTACCGGCAGGAGCTCCCAGTGGCAGGTAGTCAAGAGATTCTTATCTCCAATTCACCCCTAGAAAAGGGGAAGTGATGCTGAGCGCCTGTGGCTCACGCCTATAATCCTAGCTACTCAAGAGGCTGAGATCTGAGGATCTCAGTTCAAAGCCAGCCCGGGCAGGGAAAGTCCGTGAGACTCTTATCTCCAATAAACCAGTAGAAAACCAGAAGTGGCGCTGTGGCCCAATGGGTAGAGCGCTCGCCTTGAGCTGAAAAGCTAAGGGATAGTTCAAGCCTCAGGACCGACGAAAAAATAAGAAAAAAGAAAAGGGGAAGTGGAGCTGTGGCTCAAAGTGGTACAGAACTAGCCTTGATCAGAAAAGCTCAGGAGCAGCACCCAGAGTTCAAGCCCTATGACAAAAAAAAAAAAAGGAAGAAAAAAGAAATGTCCTTTTTTTTTGGGGGGGGAGGGGGTCCAGTCTTGGGGCCTGAACTCTGGGCCTGGATGCTATCCCTCAGCTCTTCAGCTCAAGGCTAGCACTCTACCAGTTGTGTACTCGTACTCTTTACCTAACTTATGTAACTGTAGCCCCTTTGTACATCACTTTTATAATAACAATAAAAATGTAAGATGCTAAAAAAAATACATACATTTAGAACAGAGTCAAAAGTGACAATATCAACTACAGGGAGTCTGTGGATTAGTCTCAAGCACATTTTCCTCAGTGGGAGCAAGACACTCAAATTAGTTTTTCCAGAGCATCTGGTATATTGATTTTTCCCTCTAACAAGAATAGTGGCGAGGAAATTTTGGAGCTCTGATCTTGACCATCACTAAAAACATAACTGTGGTCTGTCCTCTGTGCATGTACAAAAGAGACAGTACTTTACCTGCCAGGGAGGGAAAGTTTAGAGATCCTATTACTTCCAGAGTACCAGATCACGTCTCAGCTGACCTGACATACTTCCTAGAGAGTTGTAATAGTGTCATGAAAGAAAGAAAAAAGTTTTCCTCCTCCTGTACCTAACAAAGGTAATTTTAAGCCCATTCTTTCATCAGCAAACACATTAACTGACACCCATACAAAAACCCAAACTCCTGTCTTAAATTTTGTTTTCAAAAAAGATGAAAGCATCGTGTGTGTGTGTGTGTGTGTGTGTGTGTGTGTGTGTATTTTGCTAGAAATTAAACCTGAGGCCCTGAGCCACATCTTCTGCTTTTGTTGACATTCAGCCCTCAGGACATTCACCTTTCTTCACTTCTAGAAATGAAGCTCCCATTGGAGCTTCCAAGCTCCCTTACTCAAAGATCTTAGAAAGAATGATTCCCCTTAAAGTTTTCCCCAGTTTATGTGAACAGAGCTAACAGTAGAATCGCTCTCAGGTTCTTGATAGCTCAGGGACAACTCTGGATGAAAAATGCATTATTCAGTGAACTTGACCAAGTGTTACAAGTCATAGTCAATCCTGCCCATTCATGATTCCTCTGGCAAAACAGGACACTGACCACCTACAGCATTCAAACAGAAGTGAAGGGAGGTTTTAAGGGCACTCTGGCAGTTATTATTTTAATCTGTATAACAATAACACATTTGCCCAAAGAACCATTTCTGGTACCTCTGGAGATTTCAAGAGAAGACTTGATTGATTGATTAATTGATTGATTGATTTTGGCCAGTTCTGGGGCTTGAACTCAGGACCTGGGCACTGTCCCTGAGCTTCTTTTGCTCAAGGCTAGCTACTGCTCTACCACTTGAGCCACCTGGCCACTTCTGGTTTTTCCTGTTTATGTGGTACTGAGGAATGGAACCCAGGGCTTCATGCATGCTAGGCAAGCACTCTACCCCTAATCCACATTCCCGGCCCCAACTTAATGATTTTGACCCTCTATTCTTCCAATGATATCTCTGGTTTGATCGGAAACAAATGCCTTAAATTCCTCTGCAATTTTAAAAGGATAAAGGGTCACTTCTCAGCTTCCCTGGTCATCTTATGCCCTATCCCATCCCATCTCCACCTCCCTTTACACACAGAGGACAAAATAAAGGTCAGCAAAATGCTGCTCTAACTGCAAAGTAAAGTACGGGCAGTCCTGCAAGAGAAAGTAAAAGATAGCTGATAGTCCTGTGTTTTTAAAAACTCCATCTCGTAAAAGGAGGAACCACAGAGAATGATTTGAACCTTTTCCCAGAGCGCTAACCAGGCCAGATGAAACTGGGGAATCCACCCACGCTATCACCCATGACTGTGAACAAGAGAGCTCCAGCTGTGGCAAGAAGACAGCCCCACCACTCAGGCTGGAACTGAATCCAGCAAAAGAGCTACAAACTACTCCAGTCTAAAAAGAAAACAGGCCCAAAGCCTCACATCTGGAGGCCGATGGTGGGATGAAGCTGAATCTACTAAAAAGCAGCATCTACCCCGCGCCTCCCGGTCCGGAGCCAGATTACCACACCACACTGCCCGGCCCCGGGCTTGTATCTGGCCAATTTCCCCTTTTCTTTTTCCGCTCACGCCTTCGCCACTAAACAAGGTTCAGATTTATTTCTCCGTTCCTCCGAGTTTCCAAGTCCTCGGAGACATCCCAACATCCCGCTTGGGGCTGGCAGAGGGAAGTTCCTCTCCCTCGCAGCCTGTCCCTCCTCCTCCTCCCCCGGTCCCCACCAACCCCAAACAGCTCCCGACCCCCGCCTGCCCCCGCCCCGCGGTGCCCGCCCCCGCTCTCACCCCCTGCAGGTCCTTGACGAAATAGCTTCCGCTGGAGCCCTGGTAGATGCGCTCCGGGAAGATGCCGCGCTCGATGGCCAGCTCGGCCTGCTGCACCACCACCTCGAACTCGGGGTCGTCCGGGAACTCATTCCTCTCGCGGTGGGCCTGCGCGGTGTGCGCCGCCACCGCGGCCTGGGCGGCCAGGGCTTGGGCCTGCGCCGCCACCGTGTGGGTCTGACCCTGGGCCGCTGCACCCCGGGCCCGGTCTAGCAGCGGCTGCCGCTCCCGATCGTGGCCCGGCGAGCTCGGTGGAGAGGGACCCGAGCCGGCCGCCACCGCCACGCGGACCGCGCCCCCCGGCACCTGCGGAAAGTAAGTGCCCGAACCCGATGGGCAGGTGTACTCCGGGGGTTGGGCCCGCTCGGGGGACACTAGTGGGCTCTTCTCGTCCATCCCTCAGGCCGCCGGCTCTGGGTCCCGGCGCGTTCCACACAGCCGAGCTGGCGGCCACAACCAATCCGTGTTCCTCCCCTCCTCCCGCCTGGCCAACCCGGGCCCGGCACACGCGTGGCCCCGCCCCTATCCAACCCTGTTTACTTGGCTGCGAGTAAGCACTGCCCCTCGCGCGCACACAGTGGCCAATCAGAAGCTGCTCCTGCGCAATCGCGGCCTCAGCATTTTAATCCTGTCACCTTCCGTGGAGACTGCGCATGTTCCAGAAGCCAAACCTGGGTCAGCCCCGCCCTTTAATTCCAATTGGCTGGCGAGGCTCGGTTGCTTTCCTAGCATCCTGCCGATGGGTCGCTATTTGAGTGCCTGCTGGTTGTGAGACTGGCAAGGGGGAAAAGAAAGGCATTTCTTTGGTATGAGTACTGGGGCTTGAACTCGGGCCTTCACGCTTTCTCTTGGCTGCTTTTTTTCGCTTCCAGGCTGGCGTTCTATCGCTTGAGCCACAGCTCCACTTCCGGCTCCTTGCTGATTAATTGGAGATGAGAAACTCATGGACTTTTCTGGTCAGGCCGGCTTCAAGCCTCGATCCGCCGAGAGTGGCGACTGTGACAGAGGTGAGCCATCAGTGCCTTGCAAAAGTGTCATTTTAGGATCACTAATTGATCACCTAAGTTCTAAGTGTTGGAGAGACAGTAGTGAAGCAGACACATCCCTCTCTGTACTTGTAACAAAGGGAGAGGGCGGGCCTTTTTTGTTTGTTTAATCCCAATCCTCACAACAGTGAGCTAAGAAAGCTCTAAATTTCTGTGAGACCAAAAAAAAAAAAAAAATCCAAGGCTTTATTTGCCAATGTAAGCCCTCAGTGTCTAGACACAGTAGGTCCTCAGTATATTTATTTTAGTGGAAAAGAGAAGGAAGATTATAGCTCCCCTCATTCTGTTGAAAAACAGCTCTCTGGGAGGTTATGTTGTTCTTTTCCTCAGAGCAAAAGAGCCAGATATGCTATCTGGAACTACATTAATAGGAAGTCTCCAGACTCAGCAAAGCCAGTGCTGAATCCAGAGGAAGTGTATAATCACTGGGAGGTAAACAGAGTTGCTAGAGGAAAGGAATGGAAGGTTAGTGCTGTGCAGAACATACAGCAACCTGCTTGACTGAGTGGGGGGAGGGGGGAGAAGAACTACCAAGGCCCATGGAAAAGCCAAGCAGAGGTACCTGCCATGTGAAAGGCCACAGGGAGCTTTCTAGAGCAGATCTTGCCCAAGGAAGTGGTATGGAGATCCAGGCACCCAGAAGTAATCCAGGAAATGTATATAGGTGGCATCTGAAGGAGGACAAATAGTTGGAATTAGATATTTAAATCTATGGAATATTATACTCTCCTTTGTATTGTTGTTGTTTGAAACTGGGACTCGAACTTGGAATCTGATGCTTCCTTCCTTTCTTTGGCTGATTGTCTTCCACCTGAACTGCGCCACCGCGGCCTTTATTTTTGGTCAGTCATGGGGCTTGAACTCTGGGCCTGGGTGCTGTCCCTGAGCTCTTCACCTCAAGGCTAGCTCTTTACCACTTGAGCCACAGCACCACTTCCAGCTTTTTCTGTTTATGTGGTGCTGAGGAATCAAACCCAGGACTTCATGCATGCGAGGCAAGCGCTCTACCACTGAGCCACTTTCCCAGCCCCCAACTGCCTCTTTTTTTTTGTTTTTGAATTTTATTGTGAGAATACCGTACAGAGGATTACAGTTACATGGGCAAGATAGCGAGTACATTTCTTATCAAGCATTGTTGCCTCCTCTTTATTTCCCCTTCCCATCCTTTCGCATATTCTGCATATTCCCTCCCCTCCCACCCAATCCTCCCCCACACACACCACCAAAGTTGTAAAGTTCGTTTTGCAACATAAGGACTTGTACATCTCATTGTTGCAATGGGTTCACCTGTATCCCAACTAACTGCCTTTTTAAAGTGTGGGATGAAGGCTGGGATGTAGCTCAGTGGCAAAGCGCTTGTCTAGCAAGTGCAACGAACGTCCTGGGTTCGATCCCCAGTACCAAAAAAGAAAAGACAAAAAAAAATACAGTTGAAGTGTGGGATGTAATGGTTAGAAGCAGGTATTTGGAATCAGAGACATTTAATTTGAATACTAGTTCTAAAATGACAATCATTTTTCACAAATTACTTAATCTTTCAAACCTGTTTTCCACCTATAAAGTGAAAATGATCATCCCTATCTCACTTGATTAAACAAGAATATGCAATGTATATAAAGTATTTATGATGCTTATTATATAAAAAGGCACTCCACTAGTCTTTTGGTCACTGTTGAGGTAATTGTTAATGTTTTCATTGTTCTGCCCAAAGTAATCTCCAGACTAGAGGTATGGATTTTCACAAAAGACCATTAGTTACGTGGTCACCAGTATTTCATAATCATTCCTGATTCAGATTATTGCCACAGCTCAGTACAAGTACTGAATTGAAAGAATTATTGTTCATTTGTATTTATAGAAATGTCTTAGGACTAGAGGTGCAGCTCAGTTGCTCAGTGTTAGTGCTTACTAGCATGTTCTGGGTTCATTCCCCAATTTAAAAAATAAATAAATAAACCACTCTAGGAAAAAATCTATTTTGAGTTCCACTGCTTCTTTCAATTAACAACTAATGCATTTCCTTTTGATGTCCAGACATCAAATAATTAAGTGATGTCTGCCTCTCATGTACCAGAACCTATAGCCACAAAAATGATATCTCGTTATCATTCATCTCATTTAACTCACAAACTTCAAGTTACAGTCAAGGAGAGGTCCCAGTTTTAGAGCTCTCCCTGGAATTCTGAGGTTTTTTTTTTTCCTCTATGGAAACATTCTTGGAATGTATATCTGTATATACCTCTTCAAATTTAATTTCTTTTTTACTAAACAGAGCCCAAATGTCCCCTATTACTTACCAAATGCTAAGTATGTACCAGGCATCATTTAAGTCCATTACTCAAAATGACTCACATAACTGGCATTGAAACCCCTGTGATGTTGGAAACTGAGGCCTACAGAGGTAAAATAACTTGCCCATGATTGTGGCAGAACTGGGTTCAAATCTAGGCAAACTGGTGCTGTCCCTGGACTTCTTTGTGTTCACTACTACTTGAACCATAGCACCACTTCTGGCTTTTTTGAATAGTTTATTGGAGATAAGAGTTTCATGGATACTTTCCTCCCCAGGGCTTCATGAATACTAGGCAAGCACTCTACCACTAAACCAGATTCCCAGCCCTCAAAGTATTATTTCTTTATACTTTGTAATATACAGTCTACATTCTAGTAACATCTATTTTCTTGACACTCCATTCTTTCCACAACTATAATTACATCTATAGTCAATACCACACAGTTTGGCATATTTAACTAATGAATGGACCACCGAATGGTAGTGCCAGATTGAATCTTATACATTGCTGATCCAATGTCATTTTACAGTCTTAATAACTTGCTCAAAATCGTTTACATTTAATGACAGATGAAATTTGAATACAGAATCCAAGTTTTTAAAGAAACTATTATTTATCGCATTTTCATAATAGTCCTGGAGAAATGCAATGGCTGTTACCCTTATCATTTTCTAGTCTACAAATGAAGAAACCTCAATCCACTAAAAGCAGTTTGAAAAGCTGGGCACTGGTGGCTCAAGGCTGAGATCTGAAGATCTCAGTTCCATGCCAGCCCAGGCAGGAAAGTCCATGAGACTGTTATCTCCAATTAACCACCAGAAAATCGGAAGTGGAGCTGCAGCTCAAAGTTGTAGAGCGCTAACCTTGGGTGAAAGCGCTCAGGGACAGCGTTCAGGCCCTGAGTTCAAGACCCAGGACCGACCAAAAACAATGGATCTGGGTAATGACAACACATTATAAGGAATGCCACAAGTGTCTTGATACCACATTGCTAGGCATGGGATTATTAGGGGTCAGTTGCCCTGCCTAGCACATTAAAAATTACAAATCCACCTCTACAGCAGAGTTCTGTCCTTAAACTCAGCAACCAGGCCTTTACAAGCCTGAAGGATGGGAGCTAGTGGTAACATAGACACATGTTTGGTCTTATTTGGGGTTAATTTTTTGTGTGTGGGGGCTGTCTCCGGCGCGCGAGACCAGCGTCCTCGGTGTCTGTGGAGTTGGTGAGGTGGGACCACAGCCCCACCCTCTTGCTGACAGAGCCCCGCACCCAGATGGTGAGGAGAAGGAACGGGACCAATGGGGAGTGGCGTTGTTCCCGGTTGCCTAGGTAACAGCCAATTGGCAGCGGGAATGGAGCTCAGTGCAGCCGCCCAGGATGGCGGCGTCCAGAGGGGCTGATGTTGGTGGAGGTGGTGGAGTGGAAGGCAGCCGTGGGGAGCCGGGCAGAGCCAAGGCCCAGGTCCCTGGAGCCCCGCGTCTGGGCGCGACAATCGTTCGGAAAGGTCGAGCCCAGGTGGGCTGATGGCCCCGGTGGGAGGGAGCCACACGAATGGGTCAGCCCAGGAGGGGCGGCGAGGCGAGTGGGAGAGAGCCGCCCGGGCTCGAGGCGCAGCGCTGTCACGGCATGCGCGCCCCTGGCAGCTGCTCGGGCGGGTCCGACCCCGGTTCCCAGCTGATCGTGAGGCCCGGGAGAGCCATGGCACCCGAGCTGGGTGGGGGCCGGGGGCTCTAGGGAATGGCTGACCTGGGTGAGTCTGGGAGAGAAAGCAGACCCAGGCAGAGGAAGGTAGGAGAGAGGCTGGACTGCCAGAAAGCGGCGGGAGCCAGTGTGGCCTCGTGGAGGTCTAGGGCTTTGTCTGCTCTGGGGGAGCCGCTTCCGCATTGGGGGGGAATCCTCTCATACTGAGCTTTGAAGATGGGGTGCCTCAGTTACTTGATAGGTGGCATCCTAGCAGCTCAGCATCTCCCACCAGCTTAGGTCCCTACGTAACTGCTGTATTAGACACCAATCCAGGCATTCTCCTGTTCTGACAGTATTATCCCCAGTCCTCACTTCCAAGCTATCGTGTGTGTGTGTGTGTGTGTGTGTGTGTGTGTGTGTGTGTGTGATGTTTTGTTTT